CAGAATCTGGTCTTTTATATATTAGTATATACTAGAGGCCCGGTGCACAAAATTTGTGCACTGGGGTAGGGTGGGCCCCTCAGCCCGGCCTGCCCCCTCTCGCAGTTCAGGAGCTCTCAGATGATGTCTAACTCCCACAGAGCCGTGAACTGTGAGCCCGGCTTCTGGCTGAGCTGCGTTCCTGCTATGGGAGCGCTGACTACCAGGGAGCAGCTCCTGCATTGAGTGTCTGCCCCCTGGTGGTCAGTGCACATCATAGTGACTGGTTGACCGGTCAACTGTCGGCCCCTTGGTGGTCAGTGCACGTCATGGCGAGCAGTTGAGTGGCCTTAGCATATCATTTGCATATTACACTTTGATTGGTTGAACAGCTGACCAGATGACTGGACTTGTTATTTATTTATATATGTACTTCATTTTATTAGCTATGAATTATTACTCTTTCAATTAATAAGCTTGTTAACATTTTTTATCACATCAGTCAATCTGGCCTCTTGATGCGTTGACCTACCAGTGTTTGTCTTTCTCCACAGTGACCTGTGCATGAATTGTGCCTTGCAACTGGAGACCTGCCCATTGTGTCGGAAAGAAATAGTGTCTAGAGTCAGACAGATCTCACATATTTCATGACACTCAGGAAGAGGCATCATGGACTTATTTCTACTCAATTCCAGCCAGTGTGGAAAAGAAAAAGAAAAAGCCCCACCATCTCTAATCAGTTGTACGCACATTGAAACTTATAGCCATGGCCAGATTTTATGCTAAAAATGGTAGTTTGTCAAAGACAAAATTCTCTTTAGAATCTAACCCAACTTGCCAGCCCTGGGAAATTCCTTTCAAGGCCAAGGAAAGCTGAATGCTAACACGTGAGGCCTGTGGTACTTCCATGAAAACGATAGGGCATAGCCCCCTCGCGAGCGCTGGGACCACATCGGATTTCTCCCTGTTGGGTTCGTTTGATTGTTTAACACAGGATGTTTTGTCTCACAGTCTGAAGTTTTATTTGGACAGAAGGTCATTATGGAGGAGTGAACGGCAACATTTCTGGGTTGAGTATAACTTCCCGTTGGTCAGAGAGAGCGGTGTGTTAAGTGTGGCTACTGCACTGTAAAACTTGAATCTATAAAACTAGAACCACACAGGTCAATGCTACGAGCAATTCGGAGAGCCTGAAAGAAGGTGCACAGACTGTAGAAAAACCCCAAATTTTTTATATTTCAGTGATTCCAAAGAACATTCTAGTTTTTTTTAACTGCAGAAAATCGGTGGTATTTTCACACTCATGGTGTTTCTATCCAACTTCAATACCCACATTTCGTGAGGAAAACATGTTTTAACAATGCAGGATGAATTCTTAAATTAATTGCAATGGTTGACTGGAGAACATTTGGTATTTAAGGTATTTTTAAGGTACCATCAAATCAGGTTTTTTGGTTTAAAAAAATTGTTTTTAATCAGTATTGTTTTTGGAAGTAGCATACTCTGAAACTCTTGAACTAACAGTCTCAAAAACTCTTAGAAGACAGTCTGAGAGCACGTATTCCTGTTGTTTTAAATAAATCACATGTTTTGAATGGTAAATTCAATCATGGATTGCCGACTATATCTTCATCAAAAGTGTTACTCCCTCTCAGGGTCTCTGGTGAAGACCTTCAAGAGTTTGGTTTTTTTTTTCTCCCAGGAAATTGGAAGGTAGAATTGTAAATTCCTAGAATTTACTTTTTAATGGTGTACCTCAGCAGCTGCCTTTCGATTTATGCCAAGTCCTTACTGAGTTTATACTTGAATAGTAAATATGTCTTCTGAGTTTTACAGTGTCTTAAACTCAATGCACATTTTTTTCTTCCTTCCCCACCCTTTTTCGTTTGTAGTTCATTAAAGTGTCCTCTCACAGTGCTGGTTTCCTTCCTGGCCGTACTTGTTGGGGTGCTGGATTTTTCCCATGTCTTTAGTCTTCCATAAATCCAAAAATATATATAAATATAAAAAAATATATATATATATATGTTCCCTTCTTTAGCTTGTGGTGAATACAGTAATTTGCATTGAAGAAATAAAACATTTGTTGCCTTTTTTTAACTAAGATTTCACAACTTTCATTGGTCCCTGCTCCTAAAGTTCTAAGACAGCATACTCTCGGGTATAAGGGCTACTTCCCTGAGTAGGAGAGAATCACATATTAGAATTAAGAAGCGAGGTTCATCACTGTCCATCCAGCAAATCTTTATTCTGGGCACTTTGTGTACAAAACAGATCTGTTCATGGAGCATGCGTACATCTGGTGGTGGGAAGATGACCACTGAGCAACACCAGCCGGGCTACTTTTCTAATTCTTCTAGACCATAAAGCAAGCATTTCAGTATTAAATCATTCAGAATGGAAGCAAAGTTGTAATGTAGGAGTTGCTTCAAAGGGAAAGACATTTGCTCCACATAGAAGAGGAAAAAATTAACAAGCTATGTGGAAGAGGGTAACCAAGGATCTATATTCTGTGTAGTCTGTAAGCATTTTAAGAGAAATGGAAAGCTAGGTTTTTACTGATTATACTGATTATATATAGTACCAGAGAGAACAATATGTAATGTATATATTTTTAAATTTTATTACTTGTGTATTGTCAAGTCGTTTGCATTACTAGATTTTTTTACCCTCGCCGGAGGATATGTTTTATTGATTTTAGAAAGAGACATCCATGTGAGAGAAAAGCATCAATGGGTTGCCTTTCGCATAGGCCCTCAACCTTTTGGTGCACAGAACAGCGCTACAACCAACTGAGCCACCGGGCCAGGCAGGTAACTTAAATTTTTTTTTATTTTCCGGAAATATGTCCAGGATTCCAGACAGCCGGGGGAAAAAATGTTTCTAATGAATTGCCACTTTTTTGAATGAAACTGATAAAGCAAGGTAAAGTCGTGTTTCCATTAGCTGAATACCAGGAAACAGATTCAGTGACAGAAGCAATTTCACTTGCAAAAAATGATATTTCATGAACTTCAACCATCTCCAATATGTATCCATGAAAACAAACTATCCAACTATGATCGCTCTTCTAAATATTGTACTTTTCTTTTGCTACTCCAATTATTAATACCCACGATCAAAGGATTACATTTAATATATTCAAGTAAATGTATTTTTCTACACAAAGACCACCATTCAGGTTTTTCCCCAGAAAAGGATCATGTTCTGATTGCCAGTATTGTTTGACGAGTCGGGGATTGGGGCCTTATATTGGGCATGATGAGTGAGACAGGAGTGAGCCTCCTCTCAGATTCCAGCCCCATAATGTCACTTCCCACAAGTATGCAAGTACTTCCAACCTGGATTTCCTGGTCTATACAATCGAGATGATGGAGTGTTTCTTTTTTTTCTTTTTTTCACATATATTTTTATATTGATTTCAGAGAGAAAGGGAGCGGGAGAAAGAAGATAGAAACATCAGTGATGAGAATCATTGATTGGCTGCCTCCTGCACGCCCCATACTGGGGATCAAACCCACAACCGGGCTTATGGCCTGACTGGAATCCAACTGTGACCTCCTGATCCATAGGTCAGCACTGAGCCACTGAACCCCACCACCTGCCATGGAATGTTTCTTCCCCCCTCTACCCCCCTTTAACCACCATCCACACGGAGCTCCCAGCCAAGAGCCAACACCAAGCTTGCAGCCATGTGAGTGAGCTTCTGGGAAGAGGCTCCTCTAGCCCATTCCACCTGCTGATGAGGAGTGGAGCAGAGACTACCAAGTCCTGCCCAAAGTGCAGATTAGTGAGCAAGACAATTGTTTTAAGCCACTAAGAGTTTTGGTGGTTTGTAACAAGTGTTAGATGACCAGAACAGATGAAATCATTTCCTCCACTCTGATCCCATACATGATTTAGTAGTAGAAAGGGTGAGCAGGCCTGGCTAGGGTAGCTCAGTGGTTGAGCTTCAACCTATGTCCCAGGAGCTCATGGTTTCGGGCTCTATCCCTAGTAGTGGGCATGCAGGAGGTAGCTGATCGATGATGATTCTGTTATCATCGATGTTTCTCTCTCTTCCTCTCCCTTCCTCCCTGAAATAAAAAAAAAAAAAAAAAATTTAAAGAAAGGGTGGCAAGTTCATTTAGTCCAAAAGAAATAAGTGGTTTATAGAGAAAGTAGGTCATGAGGAAATTTGCTGAGTTTGCTTTGAGCTGTGTGACCAGTGCTGGACTTAAACAGAGCTCCGCCCGGTTATTCAGCAAACCTTTTCAGATGCCTGGTTTCTCTTTAGTGGTAGGCAGAGTTACTGCCTCTGAGAGACCATGGTCTTGATAACAAATCCCTGTACCCATGCACCACACACTTGGCCAAGATGAATACCTGCAACCGAAGAGAATACATGCAACACCCAAGTGGTCCAGTGGAGAGAAATCTGCTCTAGGGAGCCTTTTTTTTTTTTTTTTTTTTTTCCTGCAAAATTTGGCAGCATCGGAGGGGACTCTTTCTGATTGCGTTGCTCCAAGGAGCTCTATCGACTTTCATCTCGCCTAATTAGCTAAGAAACCATTTACTGCCGAATCTTTATGATGTGAATGCGATTGACGTACAAGACATCCACTTCTTGCGATGAGGCTTTCCTTCCACGAGAGGGAGGCGCTGCCTTGCAAATGAGCAACGATCTTATTCTAAAACTAAGGCTTGCCTCTCAAGAGATTTGCTATTTATAGGGCTCTTAAGATCCGCTTTAAACTATTATACTTCATCTTCTTAAGTCTTGTAATTCGCAAATGAAGAAACTGAGGCACTTGGCTTGGATTCATCCCATAAAACTGGGGCGACTTGAGATTCCATCCGCACAGGGAGAGGACACCAGCCCTCGGTGCTCACGGAGGCCCAGCTATCCTTCCTCCTCCAACCTCTCCCCTCACTTCCGCCTCCCGTTTGCCCCGCCCCTGGCTTCGGGAAGCGCGCTCTGTGATTGGCTACCTGGAGTTGCGAGGCAGCGGAAGAGGTTGCGGTGACCATGGTGACGGGAGGCGGGCGCGGCGCGGCGCCCGGTGGTCGGTAGTCGCCGCTGAGCCCCCGACGGGCGGACGGTGGCCGGGCCGGCGCGTGGCTGGGCCGTGACCCGACCGCGGCCTCGGCGGCGCGGCCTCCCCGATGCCAGTTGGGGCTCCGCGGAGCCGATCGGAGGTTGGGGCCGGGCCGCGCGCGGGCCGGGTAGGAGGCGGACGGGCCGGCTCGCCTGCGCGGGGTGGAGGCGGCGGCGGCGGCGATGGACACCCTAGAGGAAGAGAGCTTCGTGCTGTCTTCGTAGGTGACCCTGCCCGGGCCCCGGCCTCTGCCCTTAGAAACGGGGCTCCCGGCGGGGCGGGGGGCTGGCAAGGCTCCGCCCCAACCCCCGGGGTACGAGCCTTGGTTCAGGCCCGGAGGACCGCAGGGCAGGGCGGGTGTCCCGCGTTGACCAACTCCTCCATCACAGTCCCCTCACCTCCGCCTCCGATCTGTCCTCGTCGGCGGCCAAACCCGGCGGGTTTGTGCTGCCGAGGCCCAACCCCGGTTAGGGGACCCTCCACCACCGGGGCTGCGGGGCGCATTGCGCCCTCCCCGGCCGGTGCCGCCCGCGCCAGGTCCCCCTTCACCAGCAGACAGGTGCAGGCTGCGGGCCAGAATGCGGTGGGAGGGACCCCCAGGGAAGACGTGCGGAGGAGCCTTCATTAAAGATGTCCTAGGCGACCCCTTCCCGTTTTGTAACTCTTCATGTCACATCGGGTTTTCTGAAAGGTGGAGCCATTATACTGTTCGTCTTTTTTTGTTTTTAATATATTTTATTGATTTTTTTTTTTTTACAGAAACGAAGGGAGAGGGATTGAGAGTTAGAAACATCGATGAGAGAGAAACATCCATCAGCTGCCTCTTGCACACCCCCTACTGGGGATGTGCCCGCAACCAAGGTACATGCCCTTGACCAGAATCGAACCTGGGACCCCTCAGTCCACAGGCCGATGCTCTATCCACTGAGCCAAACCGGTTAGGGTCATAATCAGGTTTTTTAAAAACTATTTGAAACAGCACCTAATCCCGGCATGTCTTTCAGCTCTTCCGCCTCTGATGCAGAATTCGACGCTGTGGTTGGCTACTTAGAGGACATCATCATGGGTAAGCCACCTTGCCAGTGTGGCCTGTGCTCTTACTTCTTAGACCCGTGCTTTTAAGGACACTGAAGTCAATTTGGAGAGTCCGTTTTTAAGAGAGAAGACGTCAGGCTGCGTATAATGTTTAATGTAGCCCAATGTAGCATTGGGTCTTACTGTGATTTGTCTAGACTCTAGAGCAAACCGCCACCCATTCAGGCCTCAGGAAGGAACTTTTCAGGGAATCCACACCTAGAAGTTATGGGGCTCTTGGCAAAACTTCGGGAAATATTGATCTATTATACTCTATATTAGAGACGAAGAGCAATTTAGTTCTTTAGTTTTTCCCTTCAACATTTTCATACTAAGTGATACCATAGCTATAGCACACATGCATGGATCAAGCAAGGTATTTCCTGTTTGTGGGTCCATTTTTGGATCCATAATTCCTACTAAGGAATCTTAAGACAAATATGTGGGAGAAAGAAACTTGAAACTGAGAAAATGTTGTCTTATTGACTTCAAGTCTTCTGAGAATGAGGAAACGAATGCTGTTATTTGCTGTTTCTAGCTGTGTCTTCTACTGTAGGTTAGTCTGAAAAAGTCACTTAAGTTTTTGTATGTCCAGGTAGGTATGGCAAAGGGTCATGCCCTTAAGTGTAAATACAGGTGTTTCACCACTAAGCTCTCATTCCATGTGGGTCTGAGGGCTTGGGGGGACACTGAGGAATACTTTGAATTCTTTTGCCTTTTATGGATACCTTGTTCCCTGTGGGGAAATGAACTTCCGTAAGCCCAGACTATTTATCACAAACTGGCTAGGGCTGTTTTGTATACTTAATTACAATTTTAAAAATACTAATAAAAAAGCCAGTTTGGCTAAGTGCGAAGAGTGTCAGCCTGCAGACTCAAGAGTTCCGGGTTTAATGCTTCCTTGAAAAACCTTTAGTTTTCTCTCCTGGAGACTGACCATTGAGAAATCACTTCTGACATGTAACTCCTGCCTGTTTATAAATCAGTATTGTTTTTAGTTTGGCTTAAAAATAATGGTTGTTTTTTATTGTGGTTCAGATGACGAGTTCCAGTTATTACAGAGGAATTTCATGGACAAGTACTACCAGGAATTTGAAGACACGGAAGAGAATAAACTCATCTACACGCCTATTTTTAATGAATATGTAAGTAGATTTCTATTTCTCTTACCAGAGTTTCATTAAAATGTGAATTCAGAATCAAAAGATGCTGAAATTTGCTTGACTTTTTAAATCTGCCACTGTCCCCTGCCAGGAATTCTATTAGAACCTGGTGTAGGTCTCATCTCCTCTCACTTTCCCACACAGCTTTTGGGGTTGTTTTTCAAATATCTGATGATTTCATCAACTTTTATTTCACAAGCTGTTTGGATTTATCATAATTCTGCTTTCAGTTACAATTGGTGGGCTCACCATACCATGCATTTCTGTACTTTTGACCATTTGGCTTTCACACACTCTTCCTGTTACTAGTCCAGGTACGTATGGCTGTCAGGTGAACATGAAAACCAAGACTAGAATCCAGGAATGTCCATTGGGTGTTTCCCCTTTGCCAAGATCAGGGCCTCCTGGAATGCTGGCATCTGCCTGAGAAAGGGTTTGAGCCTCCAGAGCCTTCCTTTCTTATCATAGCAGCTTGGCAATCAATGCAGGCCAGGCCTCTGCTTCTGAGGACCCTGGACTGCCTCTGTCCAGAAGTTCTGTGTATGTTCTGCACGGATTCCATCTGCCCAGGAAGAAAAAGCCACTTATTTCATTCCTCGCTTTCGGCCAGGGGTGGGGAGAGCCCCACTGCCATCCCTGTTGATCAGAGAGCATGCGTGCTGCTGCGGGGTAATGACCGAGTGCCTCTCCTCTGTGGGCCGGCTGTCCAAGAGGCCGGGAGCTGTGTTTTGGTGTCTGGTGTCCCCAGCACTCACCACAGGGCCTGGCACATAGGATCGGCTCTTAGGACAGGCTTTCTGAAAAGCAGTCCTGAGGTTTGACAAGATCCTTCCCACTTAGATTTCTTTAGTGGAAAAGTACATTGAAGAACAGCTACTGGAGCGGATTCCTGGGTTCAACATGGCGGCCTTCACCACAACCTTACAGTGAGTTGAGCTTGACTCTATGTTTTGCCTTTTTCACCTCCCTCCTCCTCCTCCTCCTCCTGTCTGAAAAAAAAAGACCCTCTTTCTCCAGTGCTTGGTCATCAAAGCTGAGAGCGCTTGGTGGTTGGGTCCCGGGTAGGAGGGCCTCAAAACCTTTGACCGAAGCCTTGAAGACAGTGTTTCCCATTCATTCGTGAAACAGCCCCCTCCCCTTTTGCAGGCACCACAAAGATGAGGTGGCCGGGGACATATTTGACATGCTGCTCACGTTTACCGATTTCTTGGCTTTTAAAGAAATGTTTCTGGACTACAGAGCAGTAAGTCACCGTTTTGTTTTTTTCCCTTTTTTAATTCTGTGTTTAATAGGTCACTCTTACCTGTTCGGTTAGCCACAGGGAACCACTTCGAATGCTCTAGAACTGTCTAACACAAACCACCTCCCAGCCCCCCTTTGAGCCTGGCCAGTGGCACGTAGTGGGTGTCAGTGAGCTGCTGTCCTCCAGCCGGGACCTGGGATCCTGACTGAGGAAGCACAGTCTGTGGTTAAGACTGACTGTGGCCAGTGCTGAGCAAAAGTGCAAATCACCCTCCCTCCCTGTGCCCCGCTCCCCTGGTGCTCCCTCCCCCAGGCGGGATCTGAGCTAGGGAGGACTGTTCTATGTCTTGTAGGAAAAAGAAGGCCGGGGACTGGACTTAAGCAGTGGTCTCGTGGTGACTTCACTGTGCAAATCATCCTCTCTGCCAGCTTCCCAGAACAACCTGCGGCACTAGGTCCCCTCCAGCAATGACATTGTTCAACATCAGCCCGGTGCACCGGAAGCTAGCGACGGAAGGATAGATCTTGGGCAGACCAGCTCTGTTCCACAATTCTTCGTTAACATCAAGTATTGATGAGGGGAGTGGGGGGGGGATGGCATGACCCTCCTGAGACCCGTTTCCTCAGAAAACCCTTGTGTTCTGTAACCCCAGTCCTCCTCCCTCGGTGGCCCTCTCTCTCGGGGGCTTGAGTCGGATCCTCTGGACAAGTGCACATTCAGCATTCCACCTGAGGGCTCCCCCGCACACGTGTGGGGGTGCTGCATTCTTGGGGTTTCACCGGTTCGGAGCATTTAGCTAGGTTGTTCCTCCAGCATCTGCTGGACTTGAAACTTCTGGAGCTCCTATCACCATGAGTCTTGGCTGTCAGTCACCCAAGAGAGATGTCCTTTACCTAAAAGCTCCATGTCCCAGTCAACTAGTCTCACATCTGCAGTCCCTGTGTCACTGTCTTCCGGTCCCCATGTAGTCCCCGTTTCCAGAACTCTCTCTTTTTGAAAGACACTATTTTTTATAGATGAATACTCAGGCCAACCTAGTGGATATAATCTTGGAAGTTCCACGATTACCCACTTCAAGATCAAAGTATTATATGCTTTTTAGTTTAGTGCCACGATCGCGGATGCCCTGTTTGGGCCCCGTGACTGTGTGCTTACGTGTGCTTCCCCTGAAGTAGGTCAGGGTCCCCTCTTCTCAGCATGTGGGGTGTTAGTGCTGCTCGAACCGCTTCTGTATAAATCAGGTGGCTAGGTTTGCTGTTGGAATGGAGGGTCTGCAATGCCGCCTTCCTGTCAAAATCTTCCCACCAGCGCAGTGTTCTGCTGGTTAGCTCAGTTCCCGGTGTGAACCTTAGATTTTTTTTTTTTTAAGTAAAAATAATCTCTGCTGACTTCATGTGGCAGTTCTGGTTTTAAAGGATGAGCTCTACATAGGCTGTGTGTGTTCTGTATTGACGTGGCGCTTATTAAATGCTTTTGTATCCTTCGGTAAAATTTGAGGTGTTTTGCAAGAACCAACTCAGACAAGTTCTTCTGTCTTTATTTTTGTAAAAAAAATCAAACAAACCAAAAATGAAAACAGTCACCACCAAGCACATAACAACTGACCAGGCAAGGCCTCAATGCCCTGCCTCCATGTCCTAAGTGTCCAATCAGCAGGGCCAGGGAAGCAGCCATATGGACGGTGGCTTTCCCCAATCGGGCGGTTACAGACGGGCTTGGGAAGGGAGGGAAGCCTCCGAGACAGGCTTGCATCCGTGGGAAGTTGCTTGAAGCCGATCTGCTCTAAATAGCCATAAGTGGTCCTAGCTGGTTTGGCTCAGTGGATAGTCAGCCTGTGGGTCAAGGGTCCCGGATTCCATACCAGCCAAGGGCACGTACCATGGTTACAGGCTCCTCCCTGGCCTGGGCCCTCGCTGTGTTCAGGAGGCAGCCAATCAATGTGTTTCTTTGACATTGATGTTTCTCTCCCACTCTCTCTTCTCCACTCTCTCTAGAAAATCAGTGGGAAAAAAACCTCGGGTGAGGATTAACAAAAAAATTAAAAAGTCGCTCTCTTTAAAAAATAATAACCGTGTGAAATACAGGGAAGGAAGAGCGTGCTGTCAGAAAAGTCTCCTCCAGCGACATGCTGGTTTGAGGGAGGGTCGTGTGGGAGTTGTGTCTCAAGGACCCAGAAACTCTCCTGGAGCAGAGACTGTGATGGTAAATACAGTTGCTTGTTAGGCTTATCTATAACGGGTGGGGCTGGCTGCAGGTCTGGAGTCCGGGTTAGTGTGCTTAGTGCTGGTGAGAAGGCTGGGCCCCGCCTCGGAAGCTCAAGTCCTCTGGACAGAGCGGACAGCAGCCCGGTCCCCCGTCACCTTCTGCTGAATAAGGGGGACGGGCCGGTCTCGGCCGCCGGCTCTCCCCGGCCCTCCGCGGGCGGCCTGGGCCCAGCGGGAGGAAGGGTCCCGGTTCCTTAGGAGTGTTGGCTGAGCCGCGTCTGGTGGTCACACAGGAGCAGGCGTAGTCCCTTCCGGGCTGGCCCGCAGAACTTCAGCCCCACGGCGGGCCGTGGTCGGCTGGTTTAGGCGTAGCCGCCAGCCATCTGGCTGGTGGCCGCATTGCTGCCTACTCCTCGCCAGGCCTGGAAGCTGAAGAAAGCGCTCACTCCATAGGCGATCATCACTAAGCACGAGAAGAACTGAAAGAGGAGAGGAGGACACCTCGCTGAGTGGTCGGCAGCGCGGCCCGGGGGAGGGTGCGGGGACAGGGACGCTGGCAGGAAGGGGGCAGCCTGGCGCAGGCACAGAGGGACCTCGGGCTCCTGCTTAGCCCGGACCAGTGGCTCCGGCAGCCACACCAACTCCCACTGAGCCACACACTCATCGAACACCTAATTGTTGGGGGCCGATGGTGCTGATATTACCTTCCAGTGTGGGGAACCCTTAACCACGCAGACAGGTATGTGACAGGCAGCTGGACAACATGCTAACAGGCGTGATTGAGGGGCAGGAGTTACTTTAGACATGAGTGATCTAGTTTGTAAAAGGCAACAATCCAAAGCTACCCTAGGAATCTTCTGGAATCTGTTCATGGGAGAGCCTGTGAATCCCCCCAAATGGTCTAAACTAGGGGTGTCGAACTCAATCAGAGAAGGGGCCAAAATCTAAAATCCAGCCTGAATTGCGGGCCGAATGGTTTACTGAACAGTCATAAACTGTCATTGTGATGGAAACGCAGCGGAGTGCAGTGATGACAGCGCAGTGCCAGTGCGGGCCACATTGCAAGGCCTGGCGGGACGGATTTGGCCCGCGGGCCTTGTGTTTGACATGTGTGGTCTAAACCATAAAGGTCTTGCCAAAACCGGTTTGGCTCAGTGGATAGAGCATCAGCCTGCAGACTGAAGGGTCCTGGGGTTTGATTCCGGTCAAGGGCATGTACCTTGGTTGGGGGCTCATCCCCAGTGGGAGGTGTGCAGGAGGCAGCTGATTGATGTTTCTCTCTCATCGATTGTTTCTAACTTCTCTCCCTCTCTATTTATATATATATATATTTTTTAAGGTCTTTGCATGAGCCCTTTTCAAAGTAAGGATGGGGGCGATACTTTTTAAGGTTCTCTGGTGGGGAGGAGGGGTTGGGGAGTTGCCTATAATCCTAAGTCAGTGAGTTGCAACTGATTGACAGCCAAATTCAAAGGTGAACCCAAACTTCCGTTCACCACAAGGTACTTCCCCAGCCTGGTGCTCCTTCGGGCCTTTCTGTTAACCATGGAGGGACCGAAAGCTCGTAGGACGAGAACTGGGGAGGGGGCAGGGGCCTGGCCTCAGACCAGGGAGCTCTGGCGAGGCCCGGGGAGCCATACTCACGGAGGCGGCCGCCCGCTGGTTGTACGCCCCGGTGCCCTTCAGGGACGTCTGGTCGACAGAAGCGGCGCAGGCGATGAAGGCGGTGATGTAGAGCACGGTGGCGCCCACGTTAAATGCCATCAGCTGCAGGCGGAGAGGGGCGAACTGGCTGAAGATGGGAGACCTCCATCACGGGAACCTCATGGCTCCCGCCGGCACCCCCCGAGCAGCCAGGTGGACTGGCATTGAGGATGGGGACGGAGACCCCGGGGCCTCGCAGGCACAGCCCACCCAGGCTCTGCCCGGAGGCCATCTGAGCCCAGCGCAGACACCCAGGCCGTGGGAGCTGGTCAGGGGCAGCAGCAACCCGCCCAGCGGGCAAAACCCATTCCCTGTGGCAAGAGGCCAAATGCAGCCTGTCGCCGAATGTACCAATGAGCTAGAGTCCAGGCCACTCCTCCGTGTCCACACAGGGCCCGGCCCAGGCCCCCTCCCCCACCCCTTCCCACTGCAGGCCTGAGGGGGGAGGGGGGGTCTGCCCCAAGTGGGAGGAATCTGTTCCCCTTTTTGGCCACAGTTTAGGCTCAAGGTCCCACCAAATGCCAAGGTCAGGACCCAGCAGGATCCTGAGCCAGACCAGAGCAGGGAGGACCCTTCGCTGACAGCCAGGCCCAGGTGCCCTTTCTCGAACCCGGGGCCCCTGGAGCCAGCTAACGGTCTTCACAGAGACTGCGAACTGCTGGCTCTCACACATACATGCTTGGTTCATCCCATAGTTTATCTTTTACATTGCCAACGCGGTAAAATTAGATTTCATATGAACATCTGAAGATTTCATAAAACCTTTCCATCATAAAACACCGGATCTGGCACCAAGCGGCCTGCTTCCCACTGACAGCAGCTGGAACCGAGTAGAGGGGCTCCCTGTGGGCCGATGGGTACTGGGCTCTCCAGACCCCACTCCTAACCCACTACTGCCTGCCCAGTACAGTCCCAGGAAAACCCCGACTCGGAATCCCAACTCAGCCCTCCGGGAAAAGGCCCAGGAGTGTGAGAGACGGCTGAGCCTTCACGGCCAGAAAAGGAACCACTGAGGCTGGAGGCAGCTGGGCCCTCGTCTCCAGAGCCCGGGGGCCGGGTGGGGGGATGGACTCCCTCCTCGCCCCAGGACCCTCCCTGCAGGCCCGGCTCCGGCCGCCTGGCTCCTGCCAGTGATGTCAAGTCCAACAGACCCGGTCTGTCCTGAGGATGACTCACGTTTCCTCGCTCTAAACAGGCATTGAGTCGCAAACAATGCCGCTCGTCCCAGCCGTGCTTGTCTTACAGTCACGTGCCTCTCTCTCCTCTCCGCTCGCTCGCCGAGAGCCTCAGATCCCAGCTGCGGGGGTTTTCCGGGTCAGAGAGAAAACCCAGCGCGTTCTCTGCCTCTGGCCCGGCCCTTCCTGTGCTCGCTCCTTCCGAGGAGACTCCACCCTCCAGCTGCAGGGGCTTCACCCTGGGGGCAGCGGGTGGACACCCTGCCGCACCCAAGTACATCCTGCACACACCGCCCTGCACACCCCCCTGCACACACCGCCCTGCACACATACCCCTGCACACACCGCCCTGCACACACACCTGCACACATACCCCTGCACACACACCTGCACACACCGCCCTGCATACCTGCCCTGAACACACTGCCCTGCACACCCCCCAGCACACATACACCCCACACACCTGCCCTGCACACACAGCCCAGCCTGGGTATTCCTGCCAGGCCAGCCCAGTCTCCAGAGACCCTCTGCCACACAGGCTCAGACTCCGACTGCCCCCAGAAGAAAAATATTTAAGACTCCAAATGGCCTCTGGTCTCTCCAGCCAACGGCCCCTGAACCTTGACCCCCTTCCCTGGAGAAAGCCAGGCCCGTGTCCTTCCTGGCTCCGCTCCCAGTGCCCAGAAAAGCTGGCCACCACGCCATCCCCCCTCCCCTCCTCCTCATAGCTCTGCAGGCTAGCGGAGGGCCCTGAGGATTGCAGCCATCCCACCGCCACCTCTCATTTAGGAGAGGTCACCCCACAGCTCAGCCTGGATCACACACACACACACACACACACACACACCGCCCAGACTCACCACCAGCGGCCAGGGCACCATGTACAGCTTCGAGTGCAGCTGGAACAGGTAGAGGACGAAGATGACGATTGTCAGCAGCCAGAGGAAGACGGCGACGAACATCACCCAGCCGTAGGCCGGGTACAGGTGGTATGGGGTGTCGGCGATCAGGGCCCACACCAGCAGCCCCAGCCCCTGCAGGGAAGAGAGGGGCCGAGTCTCGCAGGGCACCCAGCACTGGGGCTGGGGCCACAGGCCAGGGGCCCCGGGGCCTGATGCTGGCGGGCTCCGTCACATTCCCATTCAGTCAAGAAACATTTACCTGGCTCTTCCTGCACACCCTGCACACCAAGCCCTGGCCTGGTAAGGTCCTTTCCTTACCGTCCCCTCCTCCATTCTGGCTCCCGCGGCTCCCCAGGCACCCACCCCCCAGGATGGAAAATTTTTTTAAATATATATTTTATTGATTTTTTACAGAGAGGAAGAGAGAGGGATAGAGAGTCAGAAACATCGATGAGAGAGAAACATGGATCAGCTGCCTCTTGCAACCCCCCCACACTGGGGATGTGCCCACAACCAAGGTACATGCCGTTGACCGGAATCGAATCTGGGAACTTTCAGTCCGCAGGGCAAGGCTCTATCCACTGAGCCAAACCAGTTTCGGCCAGGATGGAAATTTTGTTTCTTTCCCCAGACTGTGAGCTCCCCAAGAGCAGGATGACTGTCTCACACAGACAGCCAAGCTGTCGCACCACCACCACCCCCCCAAGGGACTAACAGCAAGGACCCCAGAGAGACTGGCTGGTCTGAAACGTCCCCCTCCTGCCAGCTGTGTGACGGGCACATCTGCTAGCTCTGTGCCTCATCTGCCAAATGAGCGTCCTGGCCACACCTGCGTCTCAGCGCTGGGTGAGGGACCGGGGCCTCCTGTGGACGTGTTTGCTATCGTTATCCCAGCCCTCCAGGCCACAGGGACCCACACAGCCCTCCTGAGGGAGCAGCAAAGGATCTGTCTGCCCTAAGGCAGGGAGCTCAGGGAGACCCCTACACCCCTCTCATCAGTGCGTCTTTATTATCCCATCCCCCCAAACACACGCAGAGGGAAATGCGCCCTGGTTGTCACAGGGGGCCCCCATGGGCAAAGGGCAGGATTTGAACCCAGACCCATCCTCCTCGGGAACCCGGCCCAGAGAGTTACTTAGCGACGTGTGCAAACCAGGACACAGCAGCGGCAGCGGCCCCAGGGCCAGGCCCGCGGGCACCGGCTCCCATCCCCGCCCACCCGGGCTCCGGGAGATGGAGCAGCCGGATAAGCAGCGGGAATTTCTCCTGTTCCTCAGGCCCCACTGCCCTGGCCCGGCCCAGGGCGCCGCCTCGGTTTCTGCCCCAGAACAAGGAAGGTCCATTCCTCCCCCTGAACCAGACGGACGGGTTCCTGCCACCCCCGTCTCCTCCTGCACAGCCCCAGCATCTGAAGGGAGCACCCCCACCCCGGGCGCCAGGACACCCCCCCTCAGGACAGGGCACCCCCACATTCGCGGGCACCTCTGCTGGCCTGGGTGGCCCTGCTGGGGACTCACACTCTAGTGGGGAGAAAGGACCAGAAACTTGTCTGCAAAACAGTAAACCCCACTGCTCAGAGGAAGAGGGATGGACCCCAACTGCCACCTGCCTCCAGGGCTGCCTCCGGCCCCTCTGCCCTGACCCTTGACCCCTGACCCCTGACCCTCGGGGTCATGCATTCAACAGACACCTGCTCTGATTGAAACAGACAAAAGCCCTGCTCTCACGGAGGGAGAGGCGCTAAGAACTCAAGACCCAGTGAGATGTGGGGGGTCCAGGGTGAGGGCCAGGGGAGAAACCTTTTAGAAAAGAGGCCAACAAGGATCTCAGTGGGAAGCAGACACCTGAGCAGAGGCGGAGGAGGGCGGGGGAGGGGACGGGAGGGCAGGAGGGAGCCATGTGGGAGGAGCAGAATTCTGCCTCTGCTCCTTGGACCCCGTCCCTGGCCTCCACGTTCTCCTGCCCCTACATGTTGTAGGCAGTTAGACAGACATGGGCAGAGCAAGGACCACGGGCCGAGTACAGGTCACCAGGGTGAAAGCCCCCAGTACCTAGCAAAGGACAGTCAATGGTCGGGTGGGACCAAGCCCCCAGGGTGACCTTCCCTCCTCTAGCAGGCAGCTGGTCATGTGACTCGGACACCCTGACCTTTCCTCCCTGCAGATACCATCTAGGCCTCGGTTGGATTTCAGCTCCGGGCCCAGAGAAGCAACAAAACCGGCCAAAACCGGCCTCGGGACCAGCTGCATCGGCTAATGCCCCTGGCCTGGTGCGGGCCCGTCAGCGGAGACCACAACCCGGAATGGACGCACCTGGCTGGCTGCTGCATCTGCGCCTGAGATCCCCCCTGGGGTCCCCCTAAACCTCCGCCCTTAAAACCCTTAGGACGGAGGACCCGGCACAGGCTCCCTCCTGGGAGCAAGCCCAGTGCCTTTCCCCTTCCCCCCCACCCGCCCTGCACCTGCCCCTCCGCTTCCCCACTCCCAAGCCCCAAGGCCCTTCCTTTACCTCTGGAACCTGGTTGCTAAGCCCCTTTCTCCCAGGAATTGCTGCTTCTGCCTCTGCGACTTACCCCATAGATGCTCTCTCACAGTTTGGGTCGTGCTCTGAATCCTTTTCTAGCCAGAACCCAAGGACCGAGGTTGCTGAACCCAGGTTTGGTCTGGCCCCACTGGTCAGACACCTGGTGATGTTCCTGCTGCCTACACCACCATCACACACACATCTTCTCCACACACACACACCACAACCAAACTTCCTGTCCTCACTCCTAAACTCTGAGGCCCCTGCAGCACCTCCTCAGCTAAGTGCTATCGACAGAGAGAACTCTCTGGAAATCTTAAAGGTGCAGCTCCCCTCCCTACCCCCTCCCCTTTCTCTCTCTCTCTCTCTCTCTCTCTCTCTCTCTCTCTCTAAAACATAAAGATTTCAGGTTAGGAATTTTCTCTTTAAATGAGAACTGTCGGGGAAAAAAAAAAAAAAAAAGGCACATTCACATATGCCCCGGGACCTTTGCACCTCCCAAAGAATTTCTAAGCAAGTGGAAACAGAGCTATTTCTGTTAAAGTCACCTGCAGAGAAGAGAGAGATCCGTCACCGGTGCCAGACCGAGAGGCATTCCGAGGTGAGAGTGGGCCCTCATCCAGGGACTGGTGTCCTTCCAAGAGGGAAACTGGACACAGAGACACGGAGATAGAAGGCCACGTGAAGACAGAGGGGAAGAGACTGGAGGGATGTGTCTCCAAACCAAGGAGCACTAAGGGCTGCCGGCCTGAACCCCAAGCAGCTGGGAGGCCTGACTCAGACTCTCCTCCAGACCCTCCAGAAGGAACCGCCCCTGCCACCACCTTGACTTTGGACTTCCAGCCCCCAGAACGGCGAGCGAATACGTCTCTGTGGCTTTACGCCATCTGGTGCGGGGCACTTTTGTTACGGCAGCGCCCGGAAACTAATACATCCCTCTTGGCTGCCCTCTGAACCTGCGGGCGGATGTCCCGATCTGGTGTAACTGGGACGCTGGCATCGGTTCTTGGCCTGTTAACTCCCTGGGTTCAAGCTCCGATCCTGCTACCATCCTCGATGCATGCCTTCGGGCAAGTGGCTGGACCTCTCTGTGCCTCCCTGCCCTATTCTTCAAAGTGTGCCTACCTCCTGGGATGTCGATGGAGAAATGTGTAGGAGGTGGGCAAAAGCAGGTTTACGGTTGTTCATGTGGAAAAACGACATGCAGGTGAGGATTATTTTACAAGAGCTTTAATAACCCAAAGGGATCTCACAAGGCCACGGTAAACATATTCTGCCCACCTGTATAGAAGTACTTAGAGCAGCACCCAATAGGTATTGAGTGTAGACTTAACACTCAATACCTCTTCTACCACCACGGCCACTCTAAGAAGTAAGTGTCAATGTGGGTTTTCCGGTCCGTTCTCTGAGCCTGGAGACCTTGGGCCTTCGTAGTGTGTGCAGTTCCCAGGGGCGGGAGGCCCGGCGAGATAAGGAGTGTATCTACACGTAAGCACCAGGCACGGTGCCCAGCAGATAAGGGCCTGGTGCCAATGTGCGCCCCACCCACCTGTCAGAGACGGGTGGAGCCGAAGCGGGAGGCCCAGGTGCCTCCTGGAGCCGCACTCCTGCTCCTCGGAGGCTGAGGGTCCCTGAGCAGAACACGTTAGACCTTTAGACCTCAGTCTTCCCCTCTGTGCAATGGGACCTCAGTCTTCCCGTCTGTGCAATGGGACCTCAGTCTTCCCCTCTGTGCAATGGGACCTGTCTTCCCCTCTGTGCAATGGGACCTCAGTCTTCCCCTCTGTGCAATGGGACCTCAGTCTTCCCCTCTGTGCAATGGGACCTCAGTCTTCCCCTCTGTGCAATGGGACCTCAGTCTTCCCCTCTGTGCAATGGGACCTCAGTCTTCCCCTCTGTGCAATGTTCTCCAAGGCCTCCTCCAGGATGACCCAAAGCCCGCTCTCCCATCAACCCAGAGAGTCACCCCATGTCTGCCTTTAATCCTCCCCTCCCTGGGCTGGGTCAGACCCTTGCAGGTTCGCTGTGTGGCACTGGGGGAATCACCTAACCTTTCTGTTCTGTTTCGTCATCTGACATGTGAGGAGGTTGGGGAGGGGGTGCTGGGCAGGGTAGTTCCAGATTCTAGTGGGCAAGAGCAGACATGGGGCTGTTAGGCCGTCCATCGGGGCATTAGGGAGGGAGAGGAAACCTGTGGGAGGGACACGGCCTCAGAGTCCGGGGGCAGACACTGGGGCAGGCAGGTCGCAGAACTAAGGGGCTCCCGGGGAGTGGGGTCTGGGGGAAGGCAGGCCTGAGGCAGCCAGAACTTGCAACTTTTCAAGAGACACTGGAATCTGAATTTCTAAAAGTCTTCCGCTTTTTGTTGTTGTTAATCCTCACATGAGGACATTTTTTCCTATTGCTTTTGAGAGAGTGGAACGGAAGGATAGGGGTGGGTGGAAGGGGAGTGGGGGGGGAGAGAGAGAGAGAGAGAGAGACAGAAACAGAGACAGACATAGACTGGTTGTCTTCCCGCTCATGCCTGGACTCGGGGCCAGAAATCACTCTTAGGTCCTCAGTGGACGTTCTAACCACTGAGCCGACTGGCCAGGATAAATCTTCAGCTTTTTAAACATCGAAAAGGAAACCAATTGTTTTAGAAAAGCGCAGGGCAGGGGCCACCCAGCATCCCGCAGGACTCCCCTCCGCCCCCCGCCCCCGCCCCGCCCTGCACTGCACCGTCCGGGAAACTGAGGCCCATGAGCGGAGCCTTGTCCCGGGGTCCCCCTCGCAGGGACACATCTGGGCATCTGAGGATACTCAGTGCTCGGCCTGGCCAGGCCCAGCCTCCACCCCCGCCCCGGCCCTTCTCCCCGGAGTGAAAGGGACTTTATGGGGACAAAAAGCCACCTATTGTGCCGCGGGAGACAAAGGCGCGGGGACAGAGGCTCCGGCCGCGGCCTGGCCACAACCACCCCACAAGCCGCCCGCCCCTGTGTCAGGCGTGGGGGGGGCCGCTCGGAATTCCCGCGCTCTCGGAGCCTCTAACACTCGGAGCCTCTACCAGGGGTCCTCAAACTTTTTAAAGTGGGGACCAGATCACGGTCCCTCAGAGAGCTGGAGGGCCGGACTATATGAACTACTGATTCCTACTGTAACACCTCGGCTGCGCTCACTGCCCAAAAAACCTGGCGGGCCGGATCAGACTCCTCTGCGGGCCGCATGTGGCCCGCGGGCCGTAGTTTGAAGACGCCTGCGTCTACACTCTGAGCATCCGAGAACCGCAGCCGTGCGGGGACCGAGCAGCTGCACAGCCCGCAGAGCCGACTGCCAGCCCCGAGGCCTGGCTTTCCTGAGCTGCAAAGAGGGCGAGAGTCCCCGAGCCCCGTCCTCAAGGCACTGAGCAGACGCCGGGTGCCCTCCAGGCCATGCCAGGCACCCAGGCGCCGCAGGGAGCCTGCCCCAGGGTCCCCGCCCAGGAGCCCCGGCCGGGCTGTCACAGGGAGTGCGATGACCACGGTCACCTTCAGGCCGTCCGCAGGCGGCCTTTAGCTCACTGCCTGCTTTCCCCGGTCACGGGGTTCAGAACTGAGATTTTTTTTTTTTAATTCGCAGAACCTGACCGTTGGCCGCTTGCCTTCCTGCCCTGAGCTCTCTCCGTAAGACCCTGACGTGCCACCCTGGCCCCTCCCCTTTGGGCAAGCAGGAGGGTCCAGCCCAGCCCAACAACACAGGGCCTGTGAGGATCCAGGCTGGAGCTCCCTGGGCTGGGGCTGCCAAGAAAAACAGGCTCCCCGTCCCTCCCTGACCCCACTCCTCCCCCATCAGGTTCCCATCAGCCCTCTGGAGATTGAGCCCGCAACCCAGGGGGCAACTGATCCATGACTCTCATCACTGATGTTTCTCTCTCTCTCTCCCTCTCCCTTCCTCTCTGAAATCAATAAAAATATGTATTTTTAAAAATCACAAACCAGCAGTCCCCCTTCTGGAGACGTGGGCACAGGTGCACTTGGCGGCTGGCACAGCAGGTGGGCGAGAGGAGAGCCCAGGTGTCTGTCATGGAGGGGGGCGGGCCTGGCAGGTCACACCTCAGCTGCACAGTGAGACCCTCACACAAGCCCCCAATCCGCACAGAGACCCAAGGATGCTAGGCCCATGTTGGAGGGAAAAGGGAGGGAAAAGGGTGCAGAAGGGCGTGTGTGTGTGTGTGTGTGTGTGTGTGTGCGTGTGTGTGCAGACTACATCCCTGGGGTAAAGAGGGGAAAGGTGGCATCTGTAGCCACATTGGCGTAGATCTCCTTAAAAACAAGGGGCCCGCCGGAACCGGTGTGGCTCAGTGGATAGAGCGTCGGCCCGCGGACTGGAAGGTCCCAGGTTCGATTCTGGTCCAGGGCATGTACATTGGTTGCGGTGGGCACATCCCCGTTGGGGGATGTGCAAGAGGCAGCTGGTTGATGTTTCTCTTTCATCGACGTTTCTAGCTCTCTATCCCTCTCCCTTCCTCTCTGTAAAAAAATCAATAAAATATATTTAAAAACAAACAAACAAACAAACAAAAAAAAAAAAACAAGGGCCCACGCGAACCCAAAGGGCCTGACGTTTTTCCCTGCGCTCTCTCCCGCGCTGTTGGACCCCGGAGCGTTGTGAATACGTTACTTATTAAAGAAAGTAAGCAAATAAAGGATTAGAGAAAAGGACACGGGCAGCGATGGGCACTGGGACAGAACATCTGGGTGTGTTGCCTCTGGGGGAGGGGGGGGGGGGGAGCATGGCTGGGCACAGTTCCAGGGCCCCCATCCGTGCTCCTTTAAGTGGGGGTGCAGGTTCTGTGTAGAAATATTTACCAACTGGCCCTGGGACCCCACAGGCCCGTTGGCGGCTGCCTCACAGGCCCGGCCAGGGAGGGACAAGACGGACCGTGTTTCCATGGGCCACCCTTGGCGCTGTTTGTATGTTTTGCTTTCATCGATCATTTTTCCAAACCTTTTGTTAAACAGGTCCACCCACAAAGAAATGGCTAAAAGGGAGGGGGCTCCCGGGACGCTATGAGATGCCCTGGAAGAGTTAGAAACGAGGAGGGCAGCTGTATGGCGGGCGCACTGGGTGTGAGGAAAGCGACTTCCTGAACAAAGGAGACAGAATAAAGCCAGCGTGCTTTTCTCACACGCACAGGAAAAGGGCCTGCAAACGCCCCCAAACAGCGGTTCCCTTGGGGAGAGGGGCAGGAGATCCAAGAATAACCTGAGCCTTATCTGAAAGCAGGCTTTTGTTTTCTTAAGGAGGGTGTGTTCGTGTATTTATAACATAATTATTAATTAATTCGAAATCAGCCCACACCCTCCCGGCCACAAGTGGGGAGGCGGGCGGGGCCAACAATGCGGAGCACTGGTTTGCTCTGTTGGAGGAAGCCCGTGAGCTTGCAGGCCCTGGAATGCAGCACCAAAGACACGGAACCCACAAATCTCAGAGCTAAGGGAAGCCCCCGCCCCCGGAGGGGGGGACCCCAACACTGCATTCCCAGCGCAACCAACCTCTGCTCACACCTCTCAGACCTGAACCACCTCAGCCAGGCGGCCTCTTCCTGGAGGCCAGCCGACCTTCAGGCCCTGCCCTGCCCCGCACCTGCCTGCTGGGGCTGCAGGCGGAGCCAGGGTCAAAGAGGAAGGACGTCCTAACACCCCCAAGCGCCCAGGATGGAGCAGGCCGCCCGGAGACGGACTGAGCTCCCTGTCTCTGGAAGCATGCAAGCTCGTGTTGAGCAAGCACCAAGGGACCTCTGATGGCAAGCCTGAGAGCCCTAGGATTGCATGACACCATGAATCCTCAGTGCCCTCCATCCCAACATACTCCACGATAAGCTCTTGGTAGGCATGATCCTCCATCGTCCTCGCAATCCCACAGTCACCATTTTACAGACAAGAAAACCGAGGCTCAGGGACATTAGGGAACTTACCCAAGATCACACAGCCGGGGAGGGGCCAGAGGCAGGATTTGAACCAAGGGCTGCCCGCACTGGATGCTGGGGCGTTGTGATCAAAGGCAGGGGAGGCTTCTGACCTGTGGATTCACCTGCAAACTGGTTTCCCCAGGGTAGGACCAGAGGAAGGACGGGAGGTGCCGAGCTCAGTGGTGCTGTGGCCACAGGACGCTCACACGGCTCCTACATCTTGAGCCTCAAGGCTGCCCCGGCATGAGCTTTGGTCTGTTCCCACCCTCCTGAGTGCCGCCTCCTCCTCCCATTTTACTACCCCCGTGAGCAAGCACTTCTGTCAGGGAGCCTTCCCTGAGTGGCCCTGACATCCCTCCCCATCTCCTTCCTCCAAAGCATAGGAACACCCATCCCCCAACAAAAAACAACAACACACCGAACAGGAAGCAGCTGAAGCCAAGCTTCGAATTTACGGATCCGAGTGCCAATCCCAGCCCTGCCACTTTACCCCGCGAACCTGGGGAAATTCTTCTCCCTCTCCGAGCCTGTTGCTCATCCACTTTCTTCCCAAGACTCGGGGAGGTTTTAAAAAAATAATAAGCCTATGGTCACGTAACGGCATCCGCTTTGTGCTTATTCTATAAAGGTTTTGGGGTCAGCACAAATTAACCTCACCTTCCACGACATTCTGACACCCTTTAGCCACACGAAGATCTGAAGCATCAAACCCCCAGGTTTTTATCATCCAAAGAGCTGCCTCTAGATCAGACGTGTCTGCTTCCCTTTTCAAGATGCTACCGTGTTTCCCCGAAAATAAGGCATCCTCCAAAAATAAGGCCTACTTAACAAGTTTCCTTCTGAGTGAAATATAAGGCATCCCCCCCGAAAATAAGGCTCCCCCAGGCTAAACATGAGAGATTTGGTCCACTGATACTGAAAGAAATGGAGTCACAAGAAATTCACCAGAAAATTCAGGAATTGGATTGTTATGATGATGTTCCAGAAGATGATGACATGATTGTCATTGAATAAGTGAGTAAATTCTTGATACTGCAGGATTCACAGTTTGTGTGGTTTGTGTTGACAACTACCGTACTACCGTACTGTATACCGGTAATAAATTTCCTTTATTTTCATTTAACAATAAATGTGTATCATATTCTTCTTCATGGAAAAATAAGACATCCCCTGAAAATAAGACCTAGCACATCTTTGGGAGCAAAAATTAATATAAGACACTGTCTAATTTTCAGGGAAACAGGGTATCTGTGTAAATTTAGCATATTTCCCCTTTCGCCCAGGCTGGTAGGAAGCTCAACAAAGAACAAGAGCCTTACACTTGCTGCACATTGCTGGCACAATGATCTCGTTGGGACTAGCATTCATTTGGGAACTGGAGAAGGAGGGAGGGTTGATAAAGCAGTGACCACGGAGGTTGGTGCTTCAGGACACATTTCATACCAGACAAAGAGCCCATCTCCTGTGCCCACCCCACCCCGCTCCTCCCAACACACACCTGGGCCCCTTCACCAAATCCCATTCCCCACCTCCTCCAGGCAGCCTTCCCTTCCACAGCACCAGCCCCTGTGCCTGGTGGGAAATGGCTGATTGTGATCCTTAGGGCCCAGGCCAGAAAAGTCAGAGCACTCAGGGCTTAGCTCCCCTAGGGAGGAGGGTGAGAGATCTCAGGCAAAGAACTGACCTCTGAGCCCCAGTTTCCTCACCTGCAAAGAGGGGGGAAGGGGAGATAAGAGGATCTAAAGCCCTCTGGGTACCTGACTAGTGGGAGCTACTACACTATTATTATGGATTCCCAGCAGAGGGTGGTACCTGTTGAGTGAACCCCCCCCCCCCCCCAGACCCAATGGAACGGTCCGTTGCCAGAGAAACAGCTCAGGAAGCAGCTTCTCCCAGAAGCTGTAGGTAGAGGCACTAAAAGGAGCGGGATCTTCAGAACTCTGATGGGAGACCCTCATCCTCTGCACCCCAATGGCCACCCCGGTCACACCCCAGGCTCCAGGAGTCCAGAGACCTGAGGGCCAGCCTCCATCCAGGACTGCGTTCTGGCTAGACCTCAGTGTGTCCACACCTGCGCGATGGGACCCAAATGTCCCAGACTGGTCCGCTGAGCCACAGGGACCCCCCTTTTGTTCTAGAACGATGAGGGTTGGAATAAGTGGAATCGGAGGAGTCTGGAATAGGAAGAGCATGCTTCTGTGCCCATGAAGCCGGGCAACCAGTGGGTGCAGGCTTGCCACTACGGGAGCCATTTGAGCAGAGACGGTTGAATCTGGTAATGTTGAATCCAGTAATGCCTGCAGCCTGGGAGAGCCGCAGGTCACCCACGAAAATCTGCTCTGCACCCCGCCTCCCCTAAACCAGCAGCCCCTGTTGGGTCGGACAAAGATTACATGGGGACGTAGGCAAAAGGACTCCTTCCAAGGCTGGCTCCAGGTCCCAGGGGGAAACAACCCCCAGCCAGGTTAGAATGTCCTTCCTTCGATCAGAACAAGGCAATCGCAGCTAACAGGGCATGATCTCCTGTGACTATAGCTCGTCCTCAATATTCTGTTTCTGCCCCTAACACCCACAAGGACCTTGTGGCTTCCTCCAGGGGAGGCCTGTGCCTCTGACTTGGTTGGGGACTTGGGGAAGGGGGGTCCACAGACAGCTCATCACCTCAGTCCCACTGCGACCCCTTCCCGGTCCCACTGCGACCCTCTCCGGTCCCACTGCGACCCCTCTCCAGCCCACTGCGACCCTCTCCGGTCCCACTGCGACCCTCTCCAGCCCACTGCGACCCTCTCCGGTCCCACTGCGACCCTCTCCAGCCCACTGCGACCCTCTCCGGTCCCACTGAGACCCTCTCCGGTCCCACTGCGACCCTCTCCAGCCCACTGCGACCCTCTCCGGGCCCACTGCGACCCTCTCCGGTCCCACTGTGACCCTCTCCGGTCCCACTGAGACCCTCTCCGGTCCCACTGCGACCCTCTCCGGTCCCACTGCGACCCTCTCCGGTCCCACACCTCCTGAGCGCGCCCAGCACACCGCCACCTACAAGTGCTCCGAGTCCACTTTCACCAGCCCGAGGGCTACTCCCCCAACTTCCTTTCTGCTCTCGGGTCCCCACACCTTGGCTCCGGGGCACCCCGCCCTTTGAACTCCCTTCCCCTCCCAGGCCTCAGGTTTCAGGAAGTCCTGCTCCACAGACACCTCTTCCTCCGTGACACTTCCCGGGCTCAGAACTGACCTCCCTCCTCCTCCCTCCTGCCCCCCCCCCGCCCTTTCCCACCGGTGGGACCGGGCTCCCTGCCCTTCACAGCCACCCAGAGCCTCGCCCACAGCCCAGCTCCAGACCCGAGGCAGCCCCCGGCCGCATCCCCTCCCCAAAGCCACTCCTGGAGAAGAATTAGAAATGCAGATTCCTGGGCTGGCCTTCCTGAGAGTCAAATTCCAATGCCACATTTTTCCCGGGGGTGGGGACCGAGAAGCTAAGTTGCAACAACCCCGCCCCCAGGAGGAGCTGAGGCTGGGGTGCAGAGGGGGCTCCGGGGAGAGCACTGAGACAGCACTGACCTAGGGGCGGAGGGCGCCAGGACGGGGGTCTGTGCTCAGAGGACCCTCCTTCCAGCCTGAGCCCGGCAGCCTGCATGGACCCAGCGGTGCGGGGACGGCGGGAGAGGCCCTAACGGAAAAGGGGTCCTGCCCACCTCCGGGTCCCCCGTGCTCCTCTGAAAATGGCCCGGCCCTCGGCTGGGGGAGCAGCCACCCAGCTCCCCGACTCGCGCCAGAGGCACTAGCGGGAGAGAACCAAGCTCCCCACCCCCGGCCAGGGACTAGTCATGGAGGGGCAGGCGGGCGTCCCACCGGTCGGTCGGTCGGTCGGCCGCAGCCGGGGCCGTCAGAAAGTCTGGAAGACCCCGGAGTCTCGGCCCCAGCTTCCCGCAAGTCACCCCCCCCACACACACACACACACCGCGGCTCCGGGCGCGGGACCTCGGTGCGCGGGGCCGGCCACACCGGCTGGAGCCCGGCGGCTCGCCCGGCGGAGCCACACGGGCCCGGCTCCCGCGGGGGCGCCCCGGGGCCGAGCCGAAGTCCAAGCGCCGGGACGGAAGTGCCCTTTCGATCAGACCCCGGTGCTCCGGGGCGCGGCCCCGAGCACGGAGCCGGCCCGGACTGGACTTGGGTTTAAGCCGGGGGCCCTGTCCCGGCGAAGACGGGGACCGGGTCGCCCGCGGGGGCTGTGGCTTACGTGGGGGGCCTCTGGGGACCGGCTGGGGAGGGGGTGATGGGGCGGCGGCGGCCTCTCTGGACTCGGGCGCCCCGTGCGTGTGCGCGCAGGGGCGCAGCGGGGACCCTCGAGGTGAGAGGGTCCCAGGGTGGCCTCGGGGCGCCCCCGGGGAGACACGGCGTGGTTTGGGGAGTAGGAGCGCTCAGCCCCCCCCTCCCCCGGACCCCCATCCCATCCCGGGGCCCCGGCGCGCTCACCAGCTGCAGCAGCATGAGCGCCCCGACGGCGGAGCGCACGAAGCCCAGGTCCGGGCGCAGCGCGGAGGCCGCGGCGCCGGCGCCCTGCGCGGGGCTGCTGGTCCGCGTGCTCACTTTGGACGGGAACTCCGCCATCGCGCCCCGCTCGGCCCGAGGTCCCCGCCGCCGCCCCTCCGCGGTGGGACCGGCTCCCGCGCGCTCCTCCCGGGGGACCCGCTCCGGCCGCCGCTCCGGGCTGCGCGCGGCTTCGGAGGAGGAGGGAGCCCCGAGCCGCCAGGTGCGGCCCTGGCCCCGCCCCGGCCCCGCCCTCCCCGCGGGCCCCGCCCCTTTAACCCTTCGCTTGCCGCCCGCGGGTCCCGTGGTCCCACTTTGCAGACGGTGAGACTGAGGCCGGCGCAGGCGGTGAGATGGTTCCGCCAGCAGAAACCAGTTTGGCTCAATGGATATAGCATCCGACTGTGGACTGAGGGGGTCCCAGGTTCAATTCTGGCCAAGAGCACATTCCCAGTGGGGGGTATGCCTGAAGCAGCTGATCCACGTTTCTAACTCTCATCCACGTTTCTAACTCTATCCTTCTCCCTTCTTCTCTATAAAAATCAATAAAATATATTTTGTAAATGAAAGACGATCCTTGGTGGCTGGGGCAAAGTGAGTGAGGGTGCGAGGCGACACGTGGGCAGGGACCCAGTCACAAAGGGCTCCTTAGTCTCCTGACAAAGGGCGGCCGGAGCGAATGATCATGAACTTGGTGCCTTAACAGAACAGAACAGCCTTCTCGCAGGTCTAAAGGCCAGAGTCTGAAATCCATTTCCTGAGCCAAACCAAGGTGTCAGCAGGACTGCTCTTCCTCCGCGGGTGTGTAGGGGAGTGTCTGTGCCTGTCACTCCCAGCTCCGCGTGGTGGCTGCTGACATCCCTTGGCTTGTGGCCTCCTCACCTCCATCTCTGCCCCTGTGGTCACATCGCCTCCTCTTCTGCGCCCATCAGCTCTCTCTCTGGTAGAGACACTTGTGATCGGATGAAGGCCCGCCCCGGTAACCCAGGATGATCTTCCCCATCACAAACCTTCACGTAGTAACCTGCTGACACCCCTTTTCTCTGTGAAGTAGAAGCTGCAGGCTCCGGGCCAGGGCCTGGTGTCTCTCGGTGGCCCTTGTGGATGGACAGAACAGTGGAGTGAATTCCATTTTAGGGCCCGATGGTTTCAAGTCGGAGAGCGGCAAGGCCTGAGTGGACAGTTTTCACTGGTGGATGCAGACTGAACCCTTTGCCCACTCAGCTGGTTGCTTGACTGCTGCTTCCTCCCAATACCCCCATAAGGTGCTCAGGGAAATGAGGGGTGCTCCTTTTTTTTTTTTTAATATATATTTTATTGATTTTTTACAGAGAGGAAGGGAGAGGGATAGAGAGTTAGAAACATCGATGAGAGAGAATCATTGATCAACTGCCTTTTGCACACTCCTACTGGGGATGTGTCCGCAACCAAGGTAGATGCCCTTGACCAGAATCGAACGCGGTACCCTTCAATCTGCAAGTCGATGCTCTATCCACTGAGCCATACCGGTTTCGGTGAGGGGTGCTTCTTGGTGGCTACGGAAGCATTTCCCAGAGACCAGCCTCTCTGCTCGCTGCCCCGAGCCCAAGTGCAGAACCAAGTGCCCGGGCACACCCTCCATGTTATTATGGCCCAGAAGACAATGCGACGATTGTGTCGCGGGCAGAATCTAAAACAATAGGGTGGTTTTGTGTTGGTTTGGGTTTGGATTTTGTTTTTTAGCTAATCCCACTTTCATTCCTTCCAAATGGCAGCGAGCAGGACTCAATCCCCGCATTGTTTTTCACTGGGACATTTTCTTCGAAACTGACTTTGTTCACTGCTCCCCCACGCCAGTCAGAAAGCGTGGGAAGGGATGTGTCTGCAGGCTGGGGCCGGCCGCCCACCCAGAGTCTCCGCTGGCGCCACGGGAGCCTCAATGAGGAGGTGAGGGCTGCTTAGTCTCAGGGCTGGTCCCCCCAACCCCTGTTCCCGCCTCAGGGTCTGAGCAGGCCGTCGCCATGATCACCTGAAGCTCACGTCTAGTCTAGGTCTCATTTCTGCAAAGGCTCCCTTCTCTGGCGCTGGGCCTGCCCCACCTGGGGTGGGTGGGGCCTGCCAGAGAGGCCCTGAGCACATGTTGACTGTGCACCTTGGGTGCAGCCGGCACTGGGAGCAGAGCTGGGAGCCCTCCGACCACACCCCACCCTCAGGGAGTCTGATGGGAGGGACAGTCTAGACGTGTGAACCCACAGATCAATAGATACAGGATTACCAGCGGTGCTAACCTCACACACACACACACACACACACACACACACACACACACCCCGGGAAAGGGCGGGGCACCTGGGGAAAAGAAGGGTAATTGGGGTTGGGTGTCATTCAGATAGCTGTGTCAGAGGATGTCTACACATGTAAGCAGAGGCCTAAAGGACGGATGAGAATGAGGCATTTTGGGCAGAGAAATGTGCAAAGGCCCTAAGCTAAGAGAAATTTGAAGAAGGACAGAGGTTATGAGTTGAGGGAATTAGGAAGAGATGAGGTTCCAGAGGCAGCTAGGGGCCAGATCACCTAAGTTTAAACCCTCAGCAACGGAGTGGGCTTTATTATTAAACACACACACAAGACAACAATAGACCACTTGAGGACAGTTATAAAAATTAAAATAGAATTGCATCTATATCCCACCTCTGGGTACATATCCAAAAGAATAGAAAGCAGCACCTCAAAGATATATTTGTACACCTATGCTCATAACATTATTCAGAATACATTGGAAGCACACACGTGGTATGTAGATATGGAAACACAAGGCAATAAGTGCCTGAAGCTTAGGAAACAGTGACCCGGTCGAACTCCTTCCCGTCACTGTGGGGACATCTGTCCATCTCAGAGAAGGACAGGATGGAGCTCAAGCTGCACGGTGAGTGACCAGGGGCCAGGTGGCTCTTCTTGTCCCTGAGCATCTGCGTGGGGTAAGAAGTGGGGGTGCATGAACAAAGCTGGGCTCTTTGGACTGCAGGCCAGCGCCCACTGTCCACACGGCCACCATGCCTGACCTCCCCGGGGCAGGAGAAAATACGGAGCTCAGGGGAGAGATGCCCTTTAAACAGAGCCTGGAAAAGAGCAGTTTGAGAAGGGGCATCATTCCAGGCGGGTGATACAAGAGCAAAGGGTGGGTACCAGGATGCTGATGGCCTTTGCCATGTCTCCGTGTTGAGATGCAGGCAGGACTGGGACGGAAGGGGCAGGTGCTTGCAGGGCCCTGCCGGTCACCTCGGGCCAGTTATTTATTGGCTCAGAATGAGGCAAAGGTCAGACTTGGGGGCTGGTTATCGTCTCTGCCTGGGCCCTTCTGCCTCTTGGAATGAGAGCGAAGGTTGTTCCCAATGGGAGCTGCGAAGAAAGGGCATTAGGATTAACTGTTTGTTCAGTGATCCGTGCCTCAAATTCCTGAGAGACGTGGCCAAGCCAGGGTTTGGGTGAATCCTCCTCATTCCATCCAGGTGCCAGCTGCACCATGAGGTCTGCACCGGGACTTCCTGCCCCTGGATCCCCCCTGTCCTGTGGTTTGCATTCATTCATTATTCATCCTTCACTCCCTTAGCTCCTTCACCACATTTAGTGTCCTAGACCCGAGGGATTTAGGAGCAAAGAAGACTCTTACAGCCCTGGCTGGGTAGCTCATTGGTTAGAGAATCTTCCAGATGCACCATGGTTGTCGGTTTGACCCCTGGTGAAGAGACAACAAATCTCTCTCTCTCTCTCTCTCTCTCTCTGTCTCTCTCTCTTTCTCTCTCATATCGATCAATCAATTAAAAAGAAAACTGGTTTAAAGAGAAATATATGTATACAGGGTGAAGCAAACGTAGGTGTACAGTTGTAAGTACACGAAACACACTGTTTATTCTTTATTATTATTTCTTGTATTATTTTTCAATGACCAACTATAAACCTACTTTCGTCCCACCCTGTATACATACCACATATCTCACAATCAAGAACGCTGAAGGGCATTTGCTAATAGATGCAGAACTGGCTTCTACCACAGGGTGGAGTCGATCGCATCTTACCAATGTTTATTTGCATGTTTATGACCTGAATTTTAAATAGTTTTAAGTAATATATTTCACTCAACTCAAATATATTTTTAAAATACTGTCATTTAAACGCATGATCCATATAAAAATTGGATGAGATCTTTCACAGTTAGTGGCCACTCTGTTAGCACAGCTATCGACAACACCTAATATTGCATCGAAAGAACGTCCAGGAATCTTCTTTGCCTTTTCCAAAGTTTTTTCCCCCCCAAATTATTTTCTGACTGTTTTTTAATTAAAAAGAAAAGTTACGCTAAGTGACTGTCCAGCCTTATGGAATGCCTCCGGTGATGGGGATGTCGCCATCTCACCGGCACCCCGTCTCCTTTCCAGCAAGCTCATTCTGTACGGAAACCTTCCACTTTAACTACTTACCCAACACCACGTCGACCCATCCCATCAAAAATATTAGTGATTAAAAAACAATATAAAAACTTCCGATTCAGAGCCTCGGCAAGTGGCTAGAATTGAACGATATAGTTTCCTTTCCGTTGTATTTATTTTTATGGTTATTTTTTTTTTTTTACCGATGGCAAAGGAAACTTTCCGGTTTTGCTCCGGCTACGGTGCTGTTTCCACTTTAAAAAATATAAAATAGTAAAAAGGCCGAACAAGTTTGGGAATAACGGCGGGGACTGTGTAGATGAACTTGAAGCTGAACGACCAAACCAGCCGGTTCTCAAACCGCGTCACACCACGGCAGAAACTACATCCCAACCACAGCCAGCCCCACAAGCAAGTCAGGATGGCCGAGCGGTCTAAGGCGCTGCGTTCAGGTCGCAGTCTCCCCTGGAGGCGTGGGTTCGAATCCCACTCCTGACAAGAGCCACTCTTTTCTTCCTCCCAAATTCTCAAGGAACGTGTGTACGTTGGACTACGCCAAGAATGTGTCGCAGTCCACAAAGCGGGACTTTCTTTTTACAGAAGTTTAGTAATTAGCATTAGGAAGGAAATGCCTGTGAAGGAGAAAACATCCGTTTGGCAAGAAGAAGATCAAAAAGAGTATCGGAAGGTGTAAATATCTGTGGGTTTGGAGTTACCGCTGAAAAAGCTAAAATAAAAGGAAGTCCTTGTCAGGAGTGGGATTCGAACCCACGCCTCCAGGGGAGACTGCGACCTG